GTGTTGTTAGGACTCTGAAAAAAGCAAAAGAAAAATCGGAAGTCGGCATCAAGCTCGCGAGGTCTCGCTTTGGAAACAAACGCTTTACCAGTCGACTACGGTCGCACAAGAGTTTGAGTTTTGAGTCTGGAAAAAAGCAAAAGAAAAATCGAAAGTAAGGGTCGAACTGGCGAGGTCTCGCTCGGGAAACGAACCCTGTACCACTCGGCCACGGCTGCACCGAAGGGGCTTGGCTATCGATATTATCGATATTTTTGAAATAGTCGCGCAAAAATTCTTTCAACTTTGCACCAAGCTACTCAAATGCTCTGAAACATTTACCATTAGAAAGCCAAAAGTTCAAGCTTCATTTTGGTACCTAATACTTAGACTACCTAATCCTACCTAGTACAAAACGCAGCTCTAAAAACCGAATCGAGACGCTATCGATATGACCTTATCGAAATCTTATGTTTTTTGAGATGCGTTGTCTTGGGGTACAGCGTTCGTTTCCAAAGCGAGACCTCGCAAGCTCGACCCTTACTTCCTCTTTTGCTTTTTTCCAGACTCAAATTTTAGACGCCTATAACTCCTGGCAGATTGTCATTTAGCCAAAACGGAATACATGTTCGGGATCAGCATAAAATTCTGCGTCGAATGGTCTAGATTGCATAGCATTTGACCGGCTCAGCCAGTTTTCCTTCCCTTGTAAGTAAAATCACGTTTCCTATGAATCACTTACAGTAATCGATGTGGTCACTCTCCGAATGCCGATCATTCGCGGCGATTTTGAGCCGGAAAAAAAGGAGAAAAGCCGAAAAAATGCTAAACTCATATTGAGCATTGGTAGAGTGAATATTGAGAGAGTTTTCGGGGCTCGAAAATAGTAACACAATTGGCCAGAGATGGTGGCCAGACAAGGCGGTTGAGTGAGGTGGAGAAAGAGGAAAGTGCCCTGAAATTAGGGAAAATGATTCACGAAACAATTTTTTAGGTTTTTTGGTTTTTAATTTAAAACAAACCGACTCCTCTCTCCTCTACTACTTTTTTTTATCTAAAACAAACCGCTGCCAAAAATAGTGATAGTGATTGAATGAAATGCATCAGATAACACAAAACGAGATGTTCTTTGAGTGCCGAATCAAGTAAAATCGAAGAAAACGTTCGTCGAGCAGTGGCCACAATGGCAAAGACTGACAGAACTGCGAAGAGGACTTGAGCCCCAAACATGATTTGCATTGGAATGCTTGTTGAATAGATCGAGATATTGGGACACGATGAATTGGAAGACATTGATGGCGGTTGGAAGGGTTTTTGACAGAGAAGGCTCGAGAATGTTCACTCGATGTGCACTCGATCTGAACTTCCTTTTCAATCTAAAGGTGAATATCCGAATTCTCTAGAGGCTGCCAATTACAGTCAATGTACAATTACAATTACAAATCAATGTAACGAAAAGAAAACCCGAAACTGAATTTGTTCATGGTGAGAAAAAGAAAGAAATAAATCTCTAATTATTGACTTTTTTTGCAAAGGTCATAATTTTCGGGACTATAACTATTTTCGGGACTACAATACCGCACCGCAAATCCGCGCGAAAATGTGTTTTCTATAGGATTTTTACGTTTGAATAGCCGATTGACGCAAAAAAATATGCTGAATCCGAAAATAAAAGAATTTTTCAAATCCCTTCGACAAATTCTTAATGTCGGGGCTGTACGGCGGGTGATCCAAATGTTCCCATCCAAACTCGTTCAATTTGCTTGTTTGACCAGGTCAGACCGTCAACGCTGCACTGTATTGTGAGCAATTGGATCGACCTCGCCGGAAGATGCGCAACCGTCAAGGACCAGTCATTTTGCTTCATGACAACGCAAGACCTCACACAGCACGAACAAAAGCGTCTTTTGCGCACACACACACACATTTGCTTTGTTTTATCTGCCCTCATCATCAAAGCTTTCTGAATGATTTTATTTATTTACGGTGAGTTCTGATTGGTTAATTTATTCAACAACGCAATTTCAATTTAACAATAAAATAAACTGAAACCGTAAATAACTCTAGGTGCAATAAGGTTTAAAAACTGTGCTGAAACAGTGACGAAAACTATAAAAACAAGCAAAAGTAATGCCGATTCAATTATTATGTACGCAAAAGGCGTTTTTGAAGGCGTGTGCGCAAAAGACGCTTTTGTTTGTGTGCGCAAATGACGTTGCGCAAAAGACTTGTGCGCAAAAATAGGTGCGCAAGTTTGTGTGCGCAAATGACGTTGCGCAAAAGACTTGTGCGCAAAAATAGGTGCGCAAAAGACGCTTTTGTTCATGTTCAAAATACGTGCGCAAATGACATTTTTAGGCCGTGTGCGCAAATGATGTCTTTTCATTGTTGCGCAAATGACTTGTGCGCAAAAATACGTGCGCAAAAGACGCTTTTGTTCGTGCTGTGTGAGGTCTTGCGTTGTCATGAAGCAAAATGACTGGTCCTTGACGGTTGCGCATCTTCCGGCGAAGTCGATCCAATTGCTCACAATACAGTGCAGCGTTGACGGTCTGGCCTGGTCAAACAAGCAAATTGAACGAGCTTGGATGGGAACATTTGGATCACCCGCCGTACAGCCCGGACATGGCACCATCGGACTATCATCTGTTCAGGTATTTTGTCCAGAAAATTGGCTATCTTTTGGCTGTAAACAATTATGAAATAATAAAAATCAGAGATTGCATTAAAGAGAATTTAAAAAGGGCACAATTTTGTATGAAGAGACAGTTTCGTGGAAATGATCTCACAAAAATACTCTTTAAAGCCTTAAGCTTCTAGAGTTTTTACACGTTGAAGATTCATCAGAGTTTGTTGAACTTTGAACATTCAAATTCTCATCGTTCTTCAGTTAAACAACTTCTCAAACCCTAGCTCTTTTCTAAAGCTCTTTTTTTAAAGATTAATAAGTAACCTTTAAAGATTTCATTTAAATTATATAAAATAAGGATTTATTAGGAAATAAAGTAACAAAAATAACATAAAGAAAAGCTATAAGCTGCTCAAATAGCTGCTCTGCTGATCTATAAGCTGCTCCGACTTTTGAATGATCAGTATTTCTAGACAGTTGTTTTGAAAGTGTTTCGGGAAGCCACCCAGCCAATACTACAAACCATTTCGCCCTTTTGTGTCTCAACTTTGGTAACAGAGACCAAATTAGAAGAGAATTAAAAGAGAATTAGAAGAGTTCTCCAACATCTTGTTTGAGTTCTCGGGCATTAATTAGACATTTCTTTTTTCTTGGTCACTGAATTCAATTACAAGATTCAAATCTTTTACCAGTTACATTGATTTTTAATTGACGATCCCTGAAGAATATCAATATTTATAAGGTGTACCAAAAATTGAGGCAGAACTTTTTGTAAAAGCGGCTAGCAAATGTCTAACTTATTTCAAAAGTGGTAAGTGTTATATAGAGATTTAAAGTCCGGAATCTTGGCTACATTTTCATACCAAAAGCTTTCGAATTCGAGGCATCGAACAAAATCCAGAAGAATTCAAAACTAGAAGAGTCAAGATTCGACAATTACTTGCTTAAAGGTTCATAGCCTCTTTTATGGGCACTTATCGAGATCTCTTTATCGAAAGGAGGCGATCATCAGAAATTCTCTTCATCAGAAATCATCAGAGCACGCAACAGACCCACTCTCTCACCACCATAAATCCTTTGATCTCGATGAATCACACATTCGATTTTGATGAACAGGGATAGAACTGATGAGTTTGGAACTACAGGGTGCGGCATCTAAAGTGTTGCGCTTGATGCTTACTGCATTTTCGCTTTCTAAGACAATACATTAATCTAAGCTGAAAAACAAAAAACGCTTTTTTGATTTCAACTTTCATATTTCCTCATTGACAGCTATCAAATGTCGTTTTTTTTAGTGTTCAACGGCGATCGGGCTGGAAAATGGGTTCCATTTAGTTGGCAGGTCAAAGGTTCGATCCCGGCGGCCAGAAAAATAGGTCCTTTTTCCCATCATTATCGGTTTTTTCTTAACAACATTTGGGTAATAGGGGTAACTAAGGGTAAAAATTTCCTCCTTTGTGTTGTAACTGATTATTCGTGTCAAATAAATCTCCTTTTTAAAAGGATCCGTATACGAAAATTCCTTAAAAAAAGTATGTAATGGTCAACTACAAAGTCGACTATTCTCATCTGAATTCATTTTTTCGATTCACAAACGTAAAAAGTGAAGAGGCGTTCCTCTTCACAAACAAAGTAAAGAGGAAAGCACTCTACTTTTTCGCCAAAATTTTCGATTTTCTTTTTGTTTTCTGATTCTCATGCGCATCCGAGAGTACATGGTTGAAGTGAATTACTGGGAGAGCTGTCGTCGGTGGTTTCTGGATGAGCTTAACGGAGATGGTACCATAAATACTGTAATAGAGAGGCCGCCTCTAATAAAATGGCCCCTTTCACCAAGGATCGAATGAATGTGATAAGGCGTTCGCCACTTCTCCTCAAATCATCACTTTCAGAATTTGTCTACAGTTTCGGAATGTTCTAGCAAAGTTGTAAGCACACACTTCTTAAAAACGCTCCTCATGCTTTGACCCTATTTCAAACCCTATTCAAATTTGTATTAGAAAAGTGACAAACACAAGAAACGAACCTGATTCGAGGGCCTATTATTAGCAGTTCAGAAATCACTGATTTCATTCCGAATCCGTCGTTTTGGAATTCAAATTGTACCAGGATATCGTCTAATTTATCGGAAAAGCGACGGATTCGGAAAAGCGACGGATTAAACTCTATTTCTGAAATGTTAAAAAGAGGCTTCTTTTCTTGTGCTTCACACTTTCCTGTATTCGTTCCTAGGTTCCTATTCGAGCCAGCACCCTCGAATCGACTTGTGGGTGAGTTTTCAATCGTTGGTGACTTTGGTGAGTTGAACTTCCCTCGTAAGATGAAATCAATGCAACTTGGAATGCTTGATCTTTTTCTATAAAGCATAAAAAAAAGTCTTTATTTTCGTTCAGATACGATCACACATCGTAGCGCCGATCAGATACAATTCATAGTAGAGCCGATCTTCCTTTCCCGCTAAAAGCGGACAGCTACAGGCGTTCCATGACAACGTTGCACTCAAATCTGAATATAATATTTGATTTTTTTTTTCTTTGCCTGTAGATAGCGTCGTCATTTTCGTCGAAGTAGTAAAAGTCGAACAGTCATACAGTTGGTATGATTTTTTTTTCTACCAGCAACATCTTGCAAATCAAATTTGCAGACTCAACTCCATCATGGATTTCCGCAGCAGATAGATAACATTGCGGTTGAACTGATCATCCTACCGATTGAAACAAACAGTTCATGTGGAACCCATTTTCCAGTCCGATTTTTCTTTCCAAGTTGATGCAAATGGTTTTCACTTGAAGTATGGGAAACATCAAATAACCCCGTTAACTCTCGAGGTTGAACTGATCATTCTATAACTCTCGAGCAGTGAGTGCTAGATCATTCTCGATTTCCACCAAAAAAATCCGTGTTTGACACTTCTTGAGGATGCCTTCCGCGTGGCTCATCCTGGAGACATCCTGGAGACATTCAATGCCGCGTTGGAAACGTTGAAACCATGCACGGCATTGTCTATCGCTAATATTTTCTTCTCCAAAAACCGGAATAATTGTACGATGCGATTCAGCCGCAGATTTTCCTTGTTTAAAATCGTAAAGCAATAAAGTCAGAATCAAAAATTTTTGGTCTTCTATTTTAATATTGTAAAAAGAATGATGAAATTTCGAAAATAAGAGATGGAGGAGGGAATTGGCAATGGAGAGGAGGAGGAGGAGGGGGTGGAGGGAGAGGACAATGGAGAGGTGCACCGCAACAACGCCACTCTCACGAACACACCGAGATCGAGCAAACCGACTACGATGAGAACCGCTTTGTCATCCCGCGAAGGACCCATGGGCGAGGCTGGAGCAAGCTCAAGAGGCGAACACGTAAAAGATATTGTAGTTTGTCTTTATGCAAAAAGCGTGAAGAAAGCTCTTTTGAAATTCAGAAAAAAACTTATAAAAAAGTGAGCGAAAGTTCGAAAGTTGCCAAGGTGACAACTTTGAGGTTGAACTGATCATTCTATTAGGGTGGTGCAAAAGAAACTGCCGATGGGTCTCAGCTCTCATTTATCCGAAACGAGCGATGCTAACGGCGTTATTTTTTTATGTTTTGTTCGCATATTTCTTTGCTATTTATTTCGACATTTGAATTTTTTGGTTGTTGTTTATTTTATTTAAAAATGCTTATATTTTTTATTTAGATCATGGTCGAGCAAAAGTTTGTGCTACGAGCAACATTACTGTTTAACTACTGTCCAATATGGTTCCAATATGGTTCCAATATGATTCCAATATGGCTCCGATTATGATACAAACACGGTTCGAATACCGTCAAATCGGCAGTTATTTTTGCACCACCGTAATATAAAAAAAATCATCGTTAAAGGTGCAGAATTTTCCCGGCTTCTGCTACCTTTGACCATAAATTTGTTTAGGATGAGCAAACTGACTTCAAACTTGTCTATCAAATACAAAAATTTGATGCTGAATGTGAATCTGAAATCAGATTTGAAAAATATCATTCCAATAAGAAGTTCGAAGTTCTAAGTCCTCGACTTTTCGACTTTCACTACTTTTACTAATTGCCTGATCTGATTTTCCACTAAACTTGTTTATCTACTAAGTGTTAATGTAGAACCTAGAGATAAGCGACAAGTGTTTACCAGTTTCGTTCAGATCGGCAATGTCGTCCTGGCATTCCTCCCAACAATCGGCGGTCACCATGTAGCGTCTCATTTCGAGGAAGAAATCCGAGAAACTGATGGTCTTCCCTTGCAGCATCTCGATATGCTGAAAAATGAGAGGGAAAGGGAATGTTATTGGATGAGCTAAACCAAACTTTTTAAAACAAAAACCAAACAGAAAAAAAGTGTTGAGAAAGAGTGCTGTGTTGAGCGAGTCTGCGAGTGCTGTGTTTGTGAAGCGAACTCTTCAATTGTCAAGATGTCAAGATCGAGATGTCAAGAAAAGTGGAACTTCTTTTCGGTTTGATAGTCACGTTTATTCAAAATCCTTACAAAATCTTCGTCTATCAGCTCTATGCTTACTGCATTTTCGCTGTCTAAGACAATACATTAATCTAAGCTAAAGAACAAAAATTAATTATAAAATCCACGCGTAATTTTATTGGGTTGTCCAGTTGTTCAAAAAAAAAGATAACTTTGTGACAAACTCAATTTATTCGACCCTCGGCGCTTCCACAGCTTTTTCTAGACAAGCAACAAAGCAAAAGGCAATCATTTCGAAAAAGTAACTTAAAGTTGGAGTGGGACAAATGGTGACATATTAGAGTTAATATTTAAACTAAGCTTTTTAGCCGAACGCTTTATCCATCTACATTATATTGGGTTATCCAGTTATGAATGCGCGTTTTTTACTATTTTGTAAATTTCTCAAGATACCGAAATCAAGAAAAAGATATATATGAGTATTATTCGAAAGCTGAAGATCTCCTCTACATTTTGATATAAAAAGTTTTCGAATTTCTTCAGCTTTTGGGCAAATTGACTGCACAGAAGCAGAGGTGGACAAAAAATGGAAGGGTGCCTTTGGAGCAAGTTTTGGCTCCGCTCAAATTGAGTTAACCGTTTGATGTTTGGCCAATAGATATATCAATATAACTTTTTTTTAAATATAACAATTTCAGAGCATCTTTACTTTTCTTTTCTTTTCTGGGCGGTTATTTTCATTTGCCGAGTTCAGGTAAAAATTTCTCGCCAACAAGTCAAGTACTGGTGATTTACTCCATTAAAGACACTCTGCAGAGCCTTTCACTCATGCCCTTTCCTTTATATTCATAGTGATTGTTAGAGGATAGGAGAAAGAGTGCAGGTGGGTCCTCTATTGTCCTCTCTTTTTTCTTTCTTTACTCCTCAATCTTTCTTTTTTCCTTTATCCACTTCCTTCGATCGAATTCTTTATCTATTGAGTTGGTAAGAAAGTCTTTTCCGCGTTTGCCTTCAGATTTTGTTTGATTTGTTTGATTTGTTTGATTCATTTCATTATCACTATCAAAGTGTTGTCTGCTTTTTTAAAGGTTACTTTTTGAAATGAATAATGAAACAATCGATCTATGGTTTATTTTATTATATCCTACTATTTATTAGGTCTGTGAAAAAGTAATCCACGTTTTTTATTTTTATTTTGTTTAAATAAATATATCTAAACAATTTTTAATTTTTTTATTAACGATATATATGCTACGTCCGAATCCGACCAGCGTCCAGATCCGATCCGGACGTCCGAATCCGATCACAACTGCAATTGTAGCAATCTAGCTATTTTTGCTATTGCTTGTTTTGTGTTTTACCGATTCACATGAATTTGTTATCATTCGATAGAGATTAAATTCTGTATCGAATCAACCTAAATTAACCTAGGCACTGTAGCGCCTCAGAGTACTAAGGCAAAGACAACTACATTGGCTAGATTGTCATTGGCAATGATTGTGGTCGGATTCGGACGTCCGAATCGGATCTGGACGTCTGTTCGGATTCGGACGTAACATATATATCATTTAAAAGCTTATTTTTTTCCTCTTTCGAATGATGTATTTATTTTGTTAAAAGGACGACAATAAACTACTTTCATTTTAGTTTGAAAATGGTATACACAAGTATCGTTATTCGGTCAAATTTGCTTTATGAGTTCAAAAATGGGTTGAAAGCTGCGGAGGCTGCACGTCGAATTCGGAATGCGTTTGGCGAAGACGCCGTTATTGATGATACCGCTAGGTTTTGGTTCCGACGATTCAAAGGTGGTAATGAAAGCCTGGAAGATGAACCACGTGGCGGTTGCCCTGAGACCTATTCTGATGACCAAATAAGACGCTGTCTTCTCGAAAACCCTCGTTCAACCTCTTCAGAAATAGGCCTTACATTAAATTGTGATGGGTGAACCGTAAGGAAACGCTTGAATGCCATGAATTTTATCAAAAAGTTGGACAAATGGATACCGCATGAACGATGACGCGCGACCACATGTCTCTTTACAGACTCGACAAAAAATCCAGAGTGTTGGATGGGAGGTTTTACCACATCCACCTTATAGTCCAGACCTTTCTCCATCTGATTATTATTTATTTTTGTCTCTGTCTAACTTTTTGACCAATAAACGGTTCAATTCCGAAGAAGATGTCAAAACCGAGGTTCATCTTTGCTTCCCTAAGGACCAAGATCCCTAAGGACCAAGATTTTTATTATCGTGGAATGTCTTTACTTGTAGAACGTTGGCAAAAGGTTGTTCTTTCGAATGGTGATCACTTCGTTGAATAAAAATTATTTTAACGAAACTTATGATCCTTTATAAAAACGTGGATTACTTTTTCACACACCTAATATTTACAAATTGCCCTTTAAGAAATTCTGAAAAGCTCGCTTTAGTTCATTTTCCGATTCGATCCAATCCCGTGGACCTTTCAGAGCCGAAACAGTGGACAATTGGATCGAATCGGACCCTTTTTTTGATCTGTGCCTTTTCAGTTATTGGTTGGACTTGGTCGCTTTGTAATTGTTAGTGAATTGTTAAGGGTTTGTTAGACGAACTCTAGTTTCTCCGGGCTCGAGATGGGACATGCCAAGAAGGTTGGGCCCAAGGGTTCCAGTCATCATTGTAAGGGTCAACATCGCCGAAGTACAATCGTCCCCATAGTGCTCAAGTGGCTTTTTGCATTCACACGGATCAGCGAATCGCTCGTTTGCAGATTTCTCTAAAAAAACAATAGTACACCGTGATCAGTTGTAAACGAGTGGGTTTTTTTTATTCCCTACGGCACGTAGCGAAACGGAATTTGAATAAAAGATCTATAAGGAAGATCGAAAATTTGTATCAGGTGTCAGCTCCGAGTCAAACTGATATTTTAGTTACTATTGTTATTATTGAATGGTTTGTCTATTCTTATGCAAATGTGTTCTCGCCTGGGCTTATCCCTTTTATCCCCGAGAAGGGGTGGTCCTTGGGACTGCCTAGGAGGACAAGTGAGGCTATTACTTGTCCTCCTAGGCTTGGAGTCCCCCCTTTCCCGTACACTCATTTGTAATCTATTCGTCTTATTGTACTACTGTAAATAAAGATACATATCTTCTATGCAACTGCAGTTCAGGTCGGTTTTTTCAGCTGCAGTTCAGGTTTCACAGGGACTCCCCTCCAATACGTTGGAGGAGTTGAGTTGGGTTGTCGGGGTGTTAGAGATGGCAGGATATCCAAAAAGGGATCCACTCTCTTTAACTTGACGCAAATTCTAGTCCACATCCGTTTATACCTAGGAACGAATACAGGAAAGTGTAAAGCACAAGAAAAGAAGCCTCTTTTTAACATTTCAGAAATAGAGTTTAATCCGTCGCTTTTCCGAATCCGTCGCTTTTCCGATAAATTAGACGATTTGCTTGTACAATTTGAATTCCAAAGCGACGGATTCGGAATGAAATCAGTGATTTCTGAACTGCTAATAATAGGCCCTTGAAACAGGTTTTTTTTTCTTGTGTTTGTCACTTTTCTGGTACAAATTTGAATAGGGTTTGAATAGGGTCAAAGCATGAGGAGCATTTGTTTGTGCTTACAACAATGACAACAATGCTTACAATGAGAAATGTGTGCTTACAACTTTGCTAGAAACATTCTATGTTGAATCCGAAACTGTAGACAAATTTTGAAAGTGATGATTTGAGGAAAAGTGGCGATCGCCTTATCACACTCATTCGATCCTTGGTGAAAGGGGCCATTTTATTAGAGGCAGCCTCTCTATTACAGTATTTATGGTACCATGTCCGTTGAGCTCATCCAGCAGCCACCGACGACAGCTCATCCAGCAATTCACTTCAACCATGTACTTTCGGATGCTCATGAGAAGCAGCGAGAACACAATTTCCTTGAAATGCGGGCGTGCCTGAAACGCGGTGGTATTGCGGCTAAAACTCTGAACTTTCCTCATTTGGAAACAAAAAGAAAATCAAAAATTTTGGCGAAAAAGTAGAGTGCGTTCCTCTTCAACACACCTTCACACAAAAAGACTGATTTTTCACGTGATAACGAACGTGATCGGTTTTTTTGTGCGCCAAAAAGCATGTGATGATGGATTAAAGTTTAATCAAGAGGAATATATTAAAAAATGAGGGAAGAGGGAATCGAACCCTCGACCTTCCGCATACTGGGCGCTGCTCCACCACTGAGCCACCAGTAACTTCTTTTCCAAAACAAGAAGGAGACAATTAAAAAAAGGAAAAAACCACACCTGTTCAGGGACAAATGCGGGGTTCGGGCTATAATCTTTGGGATGAGTGCGGTGCGGCTCATTCCTGTCACCGAGAATGGAATTGAGTAAAAAGAGGCTCGCGAGAAGCACTTTCAGCTTCGCGATCTCCATTCGTTGCTATTTTCCAATGTGAATAAAACTAAACGTTTTGCGTTTGTGAATCGTTGTGAATCAGATCAGAATGAAAATATGAAAGTTGAAATGAAAAAAGCGTTTCAATACGCGTGTTGTTTTGATTCTGACGCTAGACATAATAAATGAAATAGAAGAGAAAGGTTCTCTCTTTTTTTGTTGGTTGTGGATGGTGATTTGTTCCAAAAGTGCTATTCCTGATGTACAAGAAAAAAAGCGACTGAAAACATTTATTCATTTAATCGTGCCACATGCAGAAGCTGTCTCGGCGTAAAACCATGAAATTGCAGACAATGTTCGAGATCTTGGTATTGTCCCAAATCATTGCAATCGCACAGGTAAGTTGTGCGGCACGAAAATCATAACATCGCCTTGAGACGCAGCACTGGCATCCGTTTTTTAGGTCTGGACAGCTACAGTGGGCGTAGAAGGTGAAACGTTCGACTGCCTCAAGAACTTTTGCGATTGTGCCGGAGACATTCTTGCAATTACTCAACGTGGATGGACACGAGGTCGACGGCTAAGAAACTTTTGTTAATTATGTTTAAAATAAGGTCTTACTGCGCAATAGTTGCTGGTAGTCGAAGATGGGGATCGGGCTGATCGGGCTGATCGGGCTGATCGGCTTTTAGTAACTGCAATTTCATTTTTTGCACATTTAATTGGGGATTCTTGCGGTGCCCAGATTTTTAGCAGATCACAGGCGATCTTTAGGAAAATTAATATGTCATCGTTTTCATCGACACAGCAGCAACAGTTGTTGGATACGTCTGCGCAGGAGCAAGCCAAATTGTTGTTGATCACTTGCAAAGTGGCGATGGCACGTTGATAAATAACGGAAAGGTCGGTGCAGCGTTCAAAATTTTGACAATTTTGCGCTTGTATCTAAAATACAAAGTATTGACTGTGAGCTTTCGGAACAAACATGGCAAATTCCACCATTCAAAGTTGTATTGATATATCTATTGGCCAAACATCAAACGGTTAACTCAATTTGAGCGGAGCCAAAACTTGATCCAAAGGCACCCTTCCATTTTTTGGCCACCTCTTCTTCTGTGCAGTCAATTTGCCCAAAAGCTGAACAAATTCAAAAACTTTTTATATCAAAATGTAGAGGAGATCTTCAGCTTTCGAATATTACTCATATATATCTTTTTCTTGATTTCGGTATCTTGAGAAATTTACAAAATCGTAAAAAAATGCGCATTCATAGCTGGACAACCCAATAAATGGGGCCGGGCTTCTGGCTGAGGTTTTTGACCCACATGCGACGAAACCGTCACAAGACTATAAAAAATAGTGTAAAAATTCCTACTTTCTCTTTCTTTCCTTCTAAAATTCCGGTCTTACTGTCTTTTTTCACGCATAGATTTTATAATGAATTTTTGTTTTTTAGCTTAGATTAATGTATTGTCTTAGAAAGCGAAAATGCAGTAAGCATTAAGCGCAACACTTTAGTCCTAGTGAAATGAGATGCGAAAGAAGAGACCCAAGGAAATGGGTCCGAAATTGGTCGAATTTTGATTCTTTTTCCTTGAGCAAATTTTCGATCAGATTAGGCAAAAGCTTGCCAAGCAAAATCTTTAGGAAATATAATACTCTTATGGTTTTATAGTAGCTTTAAAAGCAATTTTATAGACGATTTTTGAATAAAGAAGGGCAAATTTTGAATAAATAAGAGACGAGTTATTTAATAGTGAATTATTATTTATTTAATGGATAAATGAGAAAAAGATTAAGCAATACGTATTCGAAATAAAAAAGAACACAAAAAAATAATGAAAAAATCAATGAAAGGTCTATTCTTCTTCTTCACTAAAATCAGCTTTACCAACTTCGATATCATCATTATCGTCTCCATGCAACTCGGGTTCATTCCAAGGGATTCCGTTCGTTTCACGACGTTTCCTAATGATAACTCCTGCATTCATTCGAGCGTCAAATCAGCTTTTCAGAAAGGCAACAACCAACAACCATTTCTTCATTATCTTCCTAACCGACTAAGTAGATCAATGGAGAATCTGGGGTCGCCTGCCAAACATCTTTGATACTTCCAGTGCGCGTGTGTCCGTCAATCTTGTGTCCGTCAATCTTGTGTGTGAAATCACGATTGATAATTGAAGCATGTGGCTTGGAAAAGGTAGAAACAAGCGGAGCCAAGCGTCTGACTTTGTCGGCGAGTTCTGCTTTTGATAGTGCAATTCGATTCTTCGAAACTGGAAAGCCACTAACCGTCCCAAAGTCGGCGTTTTTTCTCGATCGGATAGAGCTGATAGTCGAAGATTTTGTAAGGATTTTGAATAAACGTGACTATCAAAGAAGTTCCACTTTTCTTGACATCTTGACAATTGAAGAGTTCGCTTCACAAACACAGCACTCGCAGACTCGCAGAACGACACAGCACTCTTTCTCAACACTTTTTTTCTGTTTGGTTTTTTTTAAAAGGTTTAGCTCATCCAATAACATTCCCTTTCCCTCTCATTTTTCAGCATATCGAGATGCTGCAAGGGAAGACCATCAGTTTCTCGAATTTCTTCATCGAAATGAGACGCTACATGGTGGCCGCCGATTGTTGGGAGGAATGCCAGGACGACATTGCGGATCTGAACGAAACTGGTAAACACTTGTCGCTTATCTCTAGGTTCTACATTAACACTTAGTAGATAAACAAGTTTAGTGGAAAATCAGATCAGGCAATTAGTAAAAGTAGTGAAAGTCGAAAAGTCGAACACTTAGAACTTCGAACTTCTTATTGGAATGATCTTTTTCAAATCTGATTTCAGATTCACATTCAGCATCAAATTTTTGAATTTGATAGATAAGTTTGAAGTCAGTTTGCGCATCCTAAACAAATTTATGGTCAAAGGTAGCAGAAGCCGGGAAAATTCTGCGCCTTTAACGATAATTTTTTTATATTAAGGTGGTGCAAAAGAAACTGCCGATTTGACGGTAAATCCAAAAAAAAGATGGCGTTCGATGGTGACATGATCACAATGGAATATTTTCGCAAGATCTCGAGCAGATTGGCATGGATCGGCCTGAATAACGTCCCCCAGCTTGGCTTCGTTCACGACTTCTGGCCTCGAACCGTGCTCGTAATCTTCCAATGTCGCATCTCCTTCTCGGAATCGTTGAAACCAAGTCTTACACTGCCTGAGAGACAAACGGCCATCTCCGAAAGTAGCACAGAGAGAATGATGCGATTCGGCAGCAGACTTTCCAATTTTGAGAACCATATTGGAACCATATTGGAACCATATTGGAACCGTAAGTTAAACAGTAATGTTGATCGTAGCACAACCTTTTGCTCGACCATGATCTAAATAAAAAATATAAGCATTTTTAAATAAAATAAACAACAACCAAAATTCAAATGTCGAAATAAATAGCAAAGAAATATGCGAACAAAACATAAAAAAAATAATGCCGTTAGCATCGCTCGTTTCTGATAAATGAGAGCTGATACCCATCGGCAGTTTCTTTTGCACCACCCTAATAGAATGATCAGTTCAACCTCAAAGTTGTCACCTTGGCAACTTTCGAACTTTCGCTCACTTTTTTATAAGTTTTTTTCTGAATTTCAAAAGAGCTTTCTTCACGCTTTTTGCATAAAGACAAACTACAATATCTTTTACGTGTTCGCCTCTTCAGCTTGCTTCAGCCTCGCCCATGGATTCTGGGTCATTCGCGGGATGACAAAGCGGTTCTCATCGTAATCGGTTTGCTCGATCTCGGTGTGTTCGTGAGAGTGGCGTTGTTGCTGTGCACCTCTCCATTGTCCTCTCCCGCCACCCCCTCCTCCTCCTCCTCTCCATTGCCAATTCCCTCCTCCATCTCTTCTTTTCGAAATTTCATCATTCTTTTTACATTATTAAAATAGAAGGCCAAAAATTTTTGATTCTGACTTTATTGCTTTACGATTTTAAACAAGGAAAATCTGCGGCTGAATCGCATCGTACAATTATTTCTGTTTTTGGAGAAGAAAATATTAGCGATAGACAATGCCGTGCATGGTTTCAACGTTTCCAACGCGGCATTGTCTGTCTCCAGGATGTCTCCAGGATAAAGTTTGGTTCCTTATCTCTCTAAATTTGGCTTCTTATCTCTACAAATTTGGTTGCTTTTCTCTACAAATTTGGTTCCTTATCTCTCTAAATTTGGTTCCTTATCTCTACAAATTTGGTTCCTTATCTCTAGAAGTTTGGATCCTTATCTTTCCAGATTTGGTTCCTTATCTCGACAAATTTGGTTCCTTTTCTCTCTAAATTTGGTTCCTTATTTCAACGTTTCCAACGCGGCATTGAATGTCTCCAGGATGTCTCCAGGATGAGCCACGCGGAATGCATCCTCAAGAAGTGTCAAACACGGATTTTTTGGTGGAAATCGAGAATGATCTAGCACTCACTACTCGAGAGTTATAGAATGATCAGTTCAACCTCGAGAGTTAACGGGGTTATTTGATGTTTCCCATACTTCAATTGAAAACCATTTGCATCAACTTGGAAAGAAAAATCGGACTGGAAAATGGGTTCCACATGAACTGTTTGTTTCAATCGGTAGGATGATCAGTTCAACCTCAAAGTTATCTATCTGTTGCGGAAATCCATGATGGAGTTGAGTCTGCAAATTTGATTTGCAAGATGTTGCTGGTAGAAAAAAAAAAAAAAATCATACCAACTGTACGACTGTTCGACTTTTACTACTTCTACTACTTGTCATGAGATTATTTGAGGAAAACTTATGGTCAAGTGGTCAAGCAACAGTATTAAACTGAAGAATTGATATTTTTGACCGAAACTTTTTCGAAAATGCTTCGATTTGCACGAAAATTACCTGTCGAATGCAGAATTGTCGCGGAATACAAATCTGAAAAACAGAATTGAAAAATATTGACCACAAGAAATTCGAGACGGGATTGATTTGTGTAAGATTTGTTTAAGAATAAGATTGATTATAGACTTGTTCGGTAGAATAAGATT